GGGTAAAAGGAATAAGGTAGAGTTTTCCAGAGGCCAAGTAGGGAGAACATCAAGACATACAAATATGAGGACACTGAGCCATCTCCCCAGCCCCAAATACTTTATTTGAAAGAATACCTGAAGTGGCACAGAATGGCAAGGACATGCCAGAGGCTGAGGCACCTTTTCAGCACAGCAGCTTTGTTAGGTGTATAACTTATAAATCATATCATTTTCCCATCTAAGGCACAAAGTTTAATAGTTTTTGGTATGTTCACAGAGTTGTGCAAACATGAACACATTAGGCCTTTGCTATCACTCTGAAAAGAAACTCCACCTGGAACCTGGACACCCACTTTCTATTCCCTCCTCAGACGCTGAAGCCACTGAAGTGACTTCTGTCTCTACGGATTCTTTGCCACAGACACTTCATGGAAATGGTCATTCAGTACCTGTTTCCCTGACTGGCTGCTGTCACTACCCAGGGTTCTAAGGTCTGCCTGGGGAGCTGTGTGTACCAGTCCTCATTCTTTACTACTGCCAAGCGTTCTGTGTATGGACAGGACACATCCTATTCTGTTCATCCATTATCAGTTGGTGGGCATGTGGGTTGTCCCTGTTTTTCAGGTATTATGGACAATGCTGTTATGAACATTAGTGTGTCAGTGTTTTTGTGTGTACATGTGTTGTGATGTGGTTAGCTTTAATCATCGACTGAATACAATCTCCATTTACCTGGGAAAAGCGTCTCAGTGAGGGATGGTCACCATTGGGTTAGGCTGTAGGCGTGCCCATGGAGCAGCTGGCTTGATTGCCCTTACTGGTGTGGGAAGGGCGGCTGCTGCTTCCACACAGGGAAAAAGATGGGGAGGAAAGAGGTGTTTCCCTTCCTGACTTTCCTGGCCTTCACAGTCCCCGGCAAGTTCATCTCCTCTGTTGTGGCCACTGCTGATTCCTTCACTGATATCAAAACCAGCTTCTTCAGACTCCCAACTTAGACTGAAGACCTTACTGATTTCTTCACTGATATTAGAACCAATTTCTTTGAACTTCCAATGTGAGCTCCCCAGAAACGCCCATACTTCCAGCATCAGCTCATGACAGCTGGTGTACCCAGCCTCGTGGACCGAGCAGCTACCAGGTGCTGTTTCTTTGGTGTGAGACAGGTACTGTCGGATTACTTCAGCCATATTGTGTAAGCCAATCTCAAGGTTCTCCTTCAATGTGTATTCTGTTGTCTTTGTTCCCCTAGAGCCCAGGATAGTCATGTGTACACTAGGCTTCTCATTCTGTGACAAAATCATTGAGAAAACAACTTCAGGGAGGGAGATTTAGCTTGGCTCCCAGTTTCAGAGGTACCAGCCACGGTAGCTTGGCTCCATGTTTCTGGGCCATCGATAAGGCAGAGCATCATGGCTGAAGGGAATGGCGGGGCAGAGCTGTTCACCTCATATCCAGGAGAAGGTATATCATTCCAGAACACTCCCCAGTGACCTGCTGCCTCCAGCTAGGCCCCACCTCAGCTTTCCAACATCTCCCCCAAAGCACCACTGTTTGGAAACCAAATATTCAGAACATGAGCCTCTGGGGAATGTTTCCCACCTAAAGCAGAATTTTTTAAATATTTTTTATTTAATAATCTTAAAATTACATTTATTTGTGTGTGCTCATGTATGCACATTTGTTGATCAGAGGATGACTTTTGGGAGTTGGTTCTTCCCTCCTGTTGCGTTAGATGTGGGGATTGAACTCTGGTCACCAGGCTTGGCAGCAAGCACCTTTACCCACTGAGTCATCTTGCTGGTCTTGGTTTTAATACTTATTAATATGTGTTTATGGTGTAATTTCTAGATCCCCTTAGGAGCTGCCATTGTTGCTCTCTACATTAATGGTGCTACTTTCCATTCCCACCATTAGAGCATTGATAGTTCAAATTCATTTAGACCAGTGGTTCTCAACCTTCCTAATGCTGTGACCCTTTAAGACAGTTCCTCAGGCTGTGACCCTCAACCATAAAATTATTTCATTGCTACTTCATAACTGTAATTTTGCTACTGCTAGAAATAACAGGTTGAGAACCACTGCTCTATACCTTCACCAACATGCTTCCCCTTGCCTTATCTCTTCTTGGGTATTAGAAAAGGACACATCCTTGCCAGTTGGACTTGCCTTTCCCTGATGGCTCTTGGCACATTTTCCAGTGCTTATTGGTGATGAATGCTACATGGCCCTCTCTCATGAGGGTTCTACATTTGGGGAAAGCAGAGGTCATACAGTAAAGGAAGCCTGCATCCAGGAGGGGCTAAACTTTCTGCTGGTCCTGCTGGCTGGATGTGAGTCCCTGAGAGCCCCTGCAGGAGGGACTGGAGTGCAGAGAGCTCAGGGAGAGGCTCCTGCAGGATCAGGCAGGAGGCAGAGGGCATCTGCACAGGGGTCGGAGGCAGGCAATTAGGAGGACAGGGTGAGAAAGGCACGAGGAAGTGAGGATGGAGACTTCAGGCTAATGAGGTTCTGGGGGCAGGGTGGAGGGGAGAGAGGGATGGAGGCCTCAGGCTGTGAGATGTTCCATTTCAGCGGCAGAAGTGGGGAAGGCATCTGTAGAAATAGATGAGGTCACCAAGTATGTAAGCCAGAGTAGACCTTCTCCCACTTAGAAATCGTAATTCATTTATTTTTATTTGTGTGTCGAGCATATATGCCATCATGTATGTGTAGAAGGTGGAGGACAACTTATGGAGGTCTGTTCTCTCCTTCCTTCACGTGGGTCCCAGGGATTGAATTCGGATGGTCAGTCTTGGCAGCCAGCACCTTTACCTGCCAAGCTGTTTCTTGTGCCTCTGCTTGTCCCCTTTCTGCTTTAATAGTTTATCTATAAGTAGAAGAGCAATCCTTTGTGTGTGTAGGGATGAGAAGATGTAACTGAGATAGTCTAGATAGTTATTGACTTTGTTCATGCCTAGTGCATTACTTAAATTGTTATTTACATTGGGCTCATTCGCTAAGACTGTCCTATTTGTCTTTATAACCATCTTCCTCCTTGTTAGACCTCAGGGCCCATGCGAGGAGTGCTCAGTTAACTGTCTTTCCCCCCATGCTTTCCTCACCAGCTGCACATTCACTGTAGACAACGTGTTGTAGATATTGCTTTTTGTTATATCTGCCTTTCTACCCCCCTCCCAAGGTCTCATCCCTGTTTCACAGATCAGCCAAACAATACTTTTCCTTCCCAGAGTGACTTGTCTGAGGACTCAGTCAGTTTGTGGCCTAGGGGGTGTGTGATGGTTGGTTTTAATTACTAATTTGACACAGCCTAGAGTCACCTGGGGAGAGAGTCTCAGTGGGGGATTGTGGAGATCCATTTGGTCTGTGTGCATGTCTGTAAGGGATTCTCTTGATTGTTGGTTGAGGAGGGAAGACCTGGCTGGAATGGGAGCAGCACCATTTCATGGGCTTGTCCCTGAACTCTGCGAAAGAAGAAAACATCAGCAGGTAGGCAGCATGGGTGGATTTATTCCTCTCTGCTCTTGGCTGTGGATGCTGAGTTCCTGACCTGACAACCCCATAAGGACTGACTGTACTCTGGAATTATGAGCAGAATAAACTCTCTCTTCCCCTAAGTTGCTTTTTTGTTTTGCCAGAATATCTTTTATCACAGCAACAGATGTGAAACTAGGAGTGAAGAGAACAATAGTTTTTGTTTGCTTCATGTTCTATGCCAGCTTACACAGTTTTTCTTACTTAATCCTCCGTTCAACCAGTAAGGTTGGCATGGTAATCTTTGCTTTGCAAATAAAAATATTGCCCAGAAATTTCCAGCTACAGAAGTGGTACAGTCTGAATGGAAAGCCTATGAGTCTCTGACAGAGAGCCTGTCCTCAACTGAGACGTTCACAGTTCACAGATGGCCGGAGACGAAATTTCTGCTTGTCCGAGATAGCCTGCAGTGCCGCCCTCTGCTCCTAGATGGCGCTCAAGGCTCAGCTTCCAGGCCACACCTGGGGCTTCAGTCCCAAGGCCAAGACAGTATGGAGTTTCAGCAACTGTTTCGGGAAACGAAGAAGGCTTCTTGTGCCTTTGTGTTTGCGTTTGTGTTGGGGCCATTGTTTTGATTTTGTTTCCGTTTGCAAAGCCAGTCTCTCATCTTTAAGCTTGCAGTTTCTATGTACCCACATGAGCCTGGCAAGAAGAAGCCTGTGTAAGAGGGTGGGCAGACGCCTGTGGGGGAGGATACCCCAAGTAGAAAATGAGGTGAAACGGCTCTATCACAGGCATCGCTTCTCTTGACCCTGTATTCAAAGTTGGCACGACTTTGTAGATGTCAGTCAGCAGAGCCTCCTGACCAGGGAAGAGGGTCCTCGGTCAGCAGCCGCGGGGAGAGCTTGTCATTTGGAGTCTGACCCCTTGTTTTGTGGAGCTGGGAAAGGAATGGCTGAGTCACTGGGCTCAGTTGGTATTCAAGGGGGATTTTACACACCTCGTTCATTTTTTTTGCCTAGAGTGGGGCTAATGGGCACAGATGAGCACAGCAGCTGGGCGTACAACGTGGAGGAAGACAGGAAGTCGGAGGTGCCTTTCTTTGTGGAGGTGGCACACACCTTTGGGGAGATGATGTATGCTCCGGAATTTTAAAAATCCCCAGTGTTTGCTTGGTGATAACTACCAGAAGAAGAAAAGAAAAATGGTGTCAGGGTAAGGAAAAAGAAAAGGAAAAAGTTAAGCAGAATATTGGAATCTTTGAGGGAAACTGAGGTGTCTCAGGTCGGCATCCCAGGAGGAAGGTAGACAACATCCAGAAAAGGACATGTCAGCCTGGATATGTGGCCAGGCTGGCTCCACTTTTAGAGAAGTAGATGTGTTTTGAGACATGAAGAGACCTGCCATCTTTAATTCCTGTCCCCCCCACCCCACCCCCACGATCATTCTAAGAATGTACATCCTCTTCCTGCCCAGTTGTGGGGGTGTCTGTGTGAGGTAAGTGCAGTGCCCACTGGAAGCCAGAAGAGGGCATCAGATCCCCTGAATCTGGAGTTACAGGCTGTTACGAACAGTACAAAGTGGGTGCTTGGAGAAAACTCAGGTTCTGTACAAGAGTAACACACCCTCTTAACCACTGAGCCATCTCTCCACTCCCATGCTTCTGAGTCTTTGCTTTGCTTTGATCTCCACAAAGCTTAGCACCTGGTTGGAGTCCTGATGCCTAAAACTTGGGCAGAACCCAATGCCTTTCATGGCTGTATCTCCCTTGGTCTCCCTTTCATTTCCCATGCATATTTTCCCTGGCTTTGTCTTTCAATCACATTTTCTAGTTTGATTGTGCTGCACACATTTTCAGAAGCTGCCCCAAACCCTCTGTGGATGATACAGGATGCTGATATAGCAGGGGTATTCTGGTTGTATGAGCTGGGGTTAGAGAGGCTTTGATTGGAGACAGCGCTCTCCTCTGCCTACTCTATGTCCTGGAAGAGGAAGAAGGGGGTGGTACCATGTCTTTTTCCCTTTAGCCTTATGTTCCGGCTTTGAGGTCTTATGATTTGAGGCACACAGACTGACAGATGTCCTTCACAGGAGGCTTGGTGACATCATAGACAGGATGACAGGAGCTGGCATATCTCTCTGAAGGCCTTCACAGTGCTCTGCAGACAAGCAAATTAGCTTCAAGATCTGGGAGAAAAGAGATGATCAAACCCTGACTTCCAGACTCTTCAGGGAAGTTTGTTATTTTCTGTTTATTCCTAGACAGTGCAGCTGGTGGGAGCTGTGGGGACACCTGGGACAGCCTGATGGGGACAAACGGCAATGGCACTCTTCTCAGCCTCTCTGTGGGTACATGAGTGCCATGGCAGATCCAAGAGTGCCCGCTGGACTCTGATGTTAATGCAGAGAGGCTGAGAGCTCAGATGCCTCAGGTGGACCAGCAGCCACATTGAGGGGGTCTACTGCTGCAGACCAGCCACATGCAGGAGGCCCGTGCTGCTGTCATTGGTACAATGGGAAGTGTGATCGGTTTGTCAAGATCAATCAAAATGAAAGCACATGTCTCCGTGAATCTGGTGAATTTTTCTTGAAATAGATCCCACCCAGTATTTGCATGTGTATGAGACAAGGTGTACTGTATAATGTTCGGTCATGCCATTTGTGAATAGTGAAAAAATGGGGCCAGATATGGTGTGCACAAATGAATCTCAGCACTTGGGAGGCAGAGGCAGGTGGATTTCTATGAGTTTGAGATTAGCCTGGTCTATGTAGTAAGTTACAGGCTAGCTAGGGCTACATAATAAGACTGTGTCTCAAAAAAAAAGTGTGAGTATTCTAAGTTGCCATTACTAAGGGAGTAGATAAATTATGGCTCCCATCCATACTAGTGAATGCCATGTGCTAATATATAAATACCTTCCCAACATATCAAGTTCATATTATAGATGCATATGTGTATACATGTTTAGTACATATGCTTTATGCTGCATAACTACACAAATATATAATACAACAAACTTATAAGTTAAATGCATAAGTTAAATGTAAATGTGTGTATATTATGTATGCATATAAATGTGTACAGCTAAAAAAGGGGCTATATTAGTTAATGTGGTGATTATTTTTAGTTGTCAACTTCACATGATCTACAATTAATTTCACTCACTTGGGAAGAGATCTTAATGAGGGATTTCTGGATCAGGTTGGCCTGTGGCATGTTGGTAGGGAATTATCTTTTTTGTTTTAATTAGTACAGCAAGGCCCAGCCTGGTGACATGTATTCTTATATCCTCAGGTAAGTGTAGCTTCCACCCCATCTCACTTACATGTCTATTTCTGCAATAACACACCATGACCAAGGCAACTTATAAAGAAAGTATTTAATTGGCCTGCCGTTTCAGGGGGTTAGAGTCCATGATGGTGGAACAAAGGCAGGGCAGCAGGAACAGTTGATACATCTTCACAAGCAGGAGGCAGAGGGAGAGACACTGAGAATGACAGGAATCTTTTGAAACCTCAAAGCCCACCCCCATGGCACACCTCCTCCAATAAGGCCACACTTTCTAATCCTTCCCAAACAGTTCCACTGGAGACCAAGTATCCAAATACATGAGCCTGTGGAGGCATTCCCATTCAAATCACCACATTCCTCATCAAACCACCACATTTCTATTTTTGCAACAGATGGAGACCATCAAGTAAAGTCATGACTAGTCAAACTTCAGAGATCAACAGACTGTGGGGAGATCAACAACCAGCCCCAACTGATACACCTGAGGCTCAGGGAGCATCTAAGAAGAGAGAGGAGGTGGAAAGACCGTAAGGGCCAGAGGATCAGGATGCCTGCTGTGAGATTGTCTTCTAGACAAAACAGGGACACTGCACGCATGGCATCTCAGCAGTATGGCTGCCTGAACAAGGCCTGCATAGTGACCACACTGGTTGCCAGTGGAAATAGAAATTTCACAAGGCCCTGCCCCAGATGAGGAGCCACAGGCAATCAACAGGTACTAAGGGAGAGAGAATCAGTTTTCTCCAAGATGAGAAACCTGGTAGGTTATGTAGTCCCAAGCAGTCAGCCCTAAACACATGTCCATACAAGCAACACTAAATGGACTGAGAAGGCTTGGTTTGTGTGTGTGTGTGTGTGTGCGCGTTTGTGTGTGTAATAATTATAGATAGGTCATGCATCCTAGAGGGAGGGCGAGGTGGTACATGGAGAGGTAGAAGGAGGGGTGGAAATTATGCAAATACAGTGTACTCAGGTGTGAAATTCTTTAAAACTTCTCTTTGAAAACAGTAGAAAATTGTTCCCTTCCACATTAGTATGCCAACTGACACTGTCTTTGTTCAGGTCTTGTTATGACGCCATTTCTAGGGGGGGGCGCTGATTCACAGCAGACTTCCTGGTGTTCTGGCTCTAACAATCTTTCCCCCACTCTCCCCGATCTTCCCTGAGGAATAGACGCTGTAGCTGTGGTATAGACGTGTCCACTGAGGCTAGACTTACTACGATCCATTGATCTCTGCATTGTGTCCAGTTGTGGCTGTCTGTGATGGTGTCTATTTGCTGTAAAGAGAGACGTCTTTGATGAGGGCAATAGCTACAGTTTTCTGTGTGTAGAAAAACGAGATTAAGAGTGCAGTAAGGAATTATGCTGGTCTAGAATAGCTCTAGCAGCAGCAGCTTAAAGAGTAGAGAGAGCTAACTGAGTACTTAGCAGGCGTGCATTCCAGTCTCTGCTCTTGACTGGTGTCATGTGACCAGCTGTCTCAAGCTCCTGCCACTGGAACTCCCTTGCAGTGGTGGACTGTGACCTGGAACTGTAAGATAAAGTTAACCATTTCTCCACTTCTGGTTTTTGTCAATCTATTTTATCACAGCAATAGGAACAAAACCAGAACAGTTAGCTACATACCTGTATTATATACAGAAATATGGAAATGTATGTGGTTTATAGTCTGTGCTTAACTTTGTTATCTATGTTAAGTATACATATGTATGCTTAATTGTATATATCTATAATTAATACCTATACAAATGTACACATATATAGAAATAGTTTATATATTGAATATAACTAAATAGTTTATGATAGCTATAGTTATACACACCTGTAAGTATTGTTAATTATAATTATCTATACTTTTATATCTATATAATTATATTTATAGTATATAACTATTCATAGTATATATATATATATAAATGGAATATAAAATAAAACTAAAATATTTTTACACACTATTTCAGTTTTCCATTATGTAATGATAGATAGCACTGTATAGTAAGATAACTATATTCATATATCCATATATATAGATAGATGTAGTGTATGTGACCTTATTTATGTACAGTAATCACCGTCCTACTCCACAGAGGGCCCCTAGGTTGTAGGCTGCCTGGACAATCACTGATTATAGAAACTTACTGGCTGCAGTCTGGGTCATAACCAAGACCTGTGACCACCCTTCGGGCAGGAGCTCTGGTTAAGGAACAGATGTTCAGCAAGTGTTGGAGATGCCATTGTGCCAGCTGTTTACCCTTCAGTTCTTGGATCCTGGAAGGGAGGTCCATAGAAGACCCCTGGAGCTACTGAGTAGCTGAATGGAAGACCTTTGTTGCAACATCTGTTACTGGCACACTCAGACTTTGTGAAACACTAGCTTTGCTGTCTTGGGTCATATTGCAGATTATGTGTGCGTGTGTATATGTATGGGTGTGTATGTGAGTGTGTATATGTGCATGTGTATGTATGTGTGTGTGCATGTGTACACATGGGTGTGTATGTATGTGAGTGTATATGGTGTATGTGTATGCATATACATGGGTTTGTGTGTGTCCAAGTGCTTGTGCATGTGTGTATTTGTGCATGTGGAGGACAAAGGTCACCTGTCACTATCATTCCTCAGGTGCCGCCCATCTTATTTTTTGAGAGGGGGTCTTCAGTTGGCCTGGAACTCACTGATTGGACATGGCTGGCTAGCCAGTGAGCTCCAGGGAACCACCCGTCTCTGCCTCCTTAGTGCTGGGATGATAAGTGTGTGCCTCCGTACCAGCTTCGTTTTTCACATGGGTTCTGGGAATCAAACTCAGGTCTCTATGTTTGACTGACTAAGCCATCTCCCCAGCCCCTTATGTGCCTCCTGAGCCGTGAGTTGGGCTCCCCAGAGCAGAGGTCTTTGAGAGAAGCTGAGCC